AAATAAATACATAAACAATAAAACTCGGCAAACAGCATGATTCACTTCAAGCCAGCCAACTAATACAAAACTTTCTAGGTCCAAAACCCACGTTATTAAACGGTAATATTCAGATAGTGCTCAATAATTTTCTAGATTTAAAATTGAATCATAAGCAATTTAAAAAAAAATAAATCTCGAAACGGTCAAATCACATGATTAAACATCAATCCTTGATTAAGTTTCTTATGCTTGTTCATTTATAATAGCAAGAAGAAGAAAGAAATTCAAGGACAAGATTCAGGGCAGCAAATCTTCGCAAATTCAATTTAAAGAAAATAATTTTAGTGTCAACTAATAGGAAAGAATGATTCATGAGAGAAGAAAAAATAAAAATTCATATTATTTTCCACTCATAAGAAATAATATTTGAGAAGTATGCACATGTAAGAAAGTAGAAATTCAAACTTTATTTCCTTGAAGCTTCAAATACAAACTTTTGTCCTTTTCATCCCGTCTGTCTTACGACTAAACCGCACTGTCTTTTTCAATTTGTTTTACTGAATTTTCTCCCCCCTTTTCGTCATCGACAAATGCCTTCTTTGTAGACCAAAGAAAAAGAACCCATACCCTTCACTAATTCTAAGTTTAATTTCTAAATTATAAATAAAAAAGAATTCTTATTGGAAACTAAAATCATACAATTCAACTAGTTTTTAATGCATCTTGCCTCTTTTAAATCCAAATTCTTACCTTTTACTCCTCAATATCAAAAAAACTCTGAAGAATCATACTAATACCCAGTGGGGGGTTGAAAAGAAAGTTGTGCCCAGTTCTAGCTGATGACCAATAGAGGCCATATAATCAGCTGCAGAATTGCCCTCCCGTAGAGTGTGTTGCTCCACGCACGAACTCAAAGTGTCCATGCCCTTTATTAAAATAAGGGTTCATATGCGATTCAAAAAATTCATAGGTTTAAATCTTACTTTCATGAACGTTCTGGAGCTTAAGTTATTAGCTGCCAAAAAAGTCTAGAATGGTTCATTTATCTCAAAAAATCTCAATTAACTGCTTGGGTTGTGTACCCAAAAAACAAAAAATGCTTGGTTTTGTATCAAAAAACATCAACTGCTTCGGCTTGGTTTGACCAACAGAGATGGATTGTGCTATCCACATTGACAGAGAGTAACATTATGGGCTTTACACATAGGCAAACAAACAAACAAAATTATTGGCCGCAGTGACACAAACGAACAAACAAACTTATGGGCTGCATGTTTAAGCATAGCTATTGTATCTTAAGTTGTGATTGTTGGAGGTTTGAACTAGATAATCAGAGAGGTCAACCGGTGGCAAAATTCGATCTTTTAATT